ATAACATGTACAACTTTAGCAAGACAGGGTTTATAATTAGCTAGATATCTTTTAACTATACTTGCGCTTAAAACTTTACTTTAAGCTCTAAATAATGCTTTACAAACGTACTAGGCTAGTTTATGTAAACATGGCCTAGATTACGCTTAGCGCGCAAAGAATTAGCTATATTAGCTATAAATGCTATCTAAGGGGAAATTCCTTGTGCATATAGCTTAAGTATAGTCTTAATAATTACCTGCTTCTTTTTATTGCCTAGCCTTTATAATTTAGCTGTAGAATTAGCTTATAAAAGTTGTCTAGCGCTATAGTTATTTATTATTTTTTATAAGACTTTGCACATAGCTACAGCATATTTCTTTAAGAGTTTTATGTCTTATTTAAAAGCTTAGAGCGTAAGCTGTATCTAACATTCTTTTAGCGCGTCTAAGTAGTGTTGTGGGGAATGCATTAGTGTAGGAAGGGTGGTTTAGTGGGGTCTTAGCAAAAGTGAGCGACTTGGGTGTGTGAGCAACTCGCCTATGAAGTACGTTATAGGTTATCTACTTATAATTGCTGTCCTATATAGCTTGCTTAAGGCTACTTTTTTTATATCTCTGCCTAGAGAAGATCTGCTTTGTTCTTAATAGTACACTAATAAGAAAGCCTTTCTTATCTATATTGTACATATGCTGTGGCTTTATCTTGTACTCCTAAATCTTCTACTGTAGTAGCTTAAAATAGAGCTTATATTTAAAGGCTAAATTAGCTTGCTTCTTATTTTAATCTAGGCTAAAGGTCTAGTAGGTAACTAGGGAGATTTAATGCTATTAAAGAAAGTAATTAGGCTAAACTTTTTCTACTTCTTTACTACAAAGTTCTAAAGCAAAATTGCGTAGCTATTACCTTATAAGTAGTAAGCTACGCTTATAAAGCTGCTTAATATACTTTGTAAGCTCCTTCTCTTGTTGCTTATTAAGTAGTTGTTAGTTTTTGTACTGCTCTGCACAGGAGCCCTAGACGCCTTGCTAACGCTTTAATAGCTTAGTCTTTTTAACACTATACTTTTTAGCTATTATTGTAATATTAATTAATTCTCTTAGTTCTAGCAATTTTAAATATGCCAGCGCGTCCTTAATACAGTCTATATTAGTGGAGTTGCAATAATGTTAAAAATTAGCAAAATCTGGTGTGTGCGTGCGTTAGGCGAGACCGTGCGTCAGCTGATTAAATTTAGTAAGGCAATGGGAAAGCCATCAGTTACAAGTTGTGGGATCATCCTCAGACTCGATCAACGAAGGGTCGTCCTGGATGTCCCAGCACGCAGTGTCCTGCGTGTCGTCGACGCTGGTCCTCTGGAATACCGGAAGCTTGATGTATTCCAGCGCCGCCCGCAAGAAATGTTGAATCGCGTCGCGATTCTTATCCCGTACAAAGGGATCTCTATGATACTCCCCGGCGCAACCGTGCCGCTCAGGGGTATCAACGTACCCAAAGTCCTCAAGCGTTTGCCTCAGGATGGCTTTTGGCCTGAGACCAAGCTCCATGTTACGGTCTACGGTTGGACCAGCGTAACTCCACCAGCAGTGCTCCACAATCTAGCCAGGTCGGGGCAGGGCTCGCTTAGAGACCAGTCGGAGGACACGGAGCCAGCACGGCTGCCCGAAGCCATGGAGGAATGCGTCGTCTAATAAGAAGACGAGCCCAGGGAGCTGGACAGAGCTTAAGGGAGCCCCTCTTGGCAAGCTCCTATGAACTCCTGCCAGCTCCCCTTAGCACCCTAGCACATGTATATAGTCCCTACATTAAACAACCTTTAGAAGGTGTGTTTAATGTTTAGTTTATTTACTACATAGACTAAGTAGCATTTAGCTTTCTAAAGAGCTGTAATACTATTTATATATCTTACACTATATATACCTCTAACTTTGTCTAACAGGACTGTTTAACCCTAGCCTTTTTACTACTGCACATAGGGTAAACTATAATCTAGTTACTCTCTACCACTCTCTATTAGCCTATTAGCCTATATGTAGGACTGTACACCCTACTAGATTAGCCTCTACTACTTGTTTTATTTCCCCTTAAGAACATTATAAGACCTAAGTGCTTCCTAAAGTAAAAATTATAACATTAAACACTACTTTTTTAAAAAGTATAGTAACCTTCTAACATAATTTAGACTCTAACATAGCCTACACTGCGCTGTTAAGATCTACAGAAGTTCCTACCTAAAGTAAAGCTATTCTAGCAGAACAGATTAATATAATCTAGGATAACATAAAGAAACTCTAGCAGATTAGTAATAAAGTTAGTAAACTACTAAATTTTAAAAAAAAAATTACTAACTTTTACTAAAAAGTAATAAAATTATAAAACTTTTTAAAAGCCTTAAGCTCTCTAAAAATAACTAATTAAGCTTATTAAATATATAAACTATAAGTAAAGCTAGCAAAAATCTAAAACATCTTAACTAAAAAAATAAGTATTATAGCTAAAAAAGCTTTAAAACTAGCTTTTTTAAAGCCTTTTAAAGAATTACTAAAGAACTTTTAACTATTCTTTATAAGATGCTACCTTTATATGTAATATAATAAAGGAGCATTTTAGACTAATGTAGAAATAATATCCTAGATAGGACTACACCTAAAAGGCCCCCTTATAATCTAGTTCTAACCCTACACAGACAACTAGATAAACTTTAGGGTAAATAGTAAAGCACTTACTTTTAAAATAAAAGAAATATTTAGTAATATTAAAAACTTTAAAGAAGCTTTAACAGCTATTTATAAAACTTTTAATAAAAAAAAGATTATAGCTAATAAATTAAATACTATAAAATAAGGAACTAGCTTAGTCTAAAACTATGCAGCATGTTTTAAAGAACAACTAGCTATCTGTAGATAGACAGACTAGAAGGCTCTTTGCTGCATGTTCTATAATAAATTAAGTAAGATAGTAAAAGATAAATTTATACATAGTAAAAAACTAACTACTTTTAAAAACTTTATTATGTAGGCAACAACCTATAACAACTGTTATAGAGAGCGTAAAAAAAAAATAAAATAAAAAGAAACTCTCTAAAAACTAGAATTTATTTTAAAGAAAAAAAAGCTTCTATAATATAATAAAAAACTAATAGACCTTAGTTATATAAAGTATATATAAAGCCCTCTTTTTAAGAAGAGCTAAGTTCTAGGACGCAATAGGCTGCCCTTAATAAAAGAATAATAAAAGTAGCTAAAGAATAAGGCCTGCCTAAACTATAAAAAAGTAGGACATTTTTACTAAAACTGCCTAGACTTCTAGAAGAGGAAGAATAAAAATACTACTATAATAATAAAAGCTATTAATGCTAAATATAGCTTTATAAACAAGGAAATATAAAAAAGACTAAATAATAGACTTTACTAGTAATGTAAAAAAAACTATTCTTTAAATAACTACTTTAAACTATATTAAAAAGTAGTTATCTAAAACTTTAGTAGCTTTAATACAGTGTTACAGGACCTTATAATTTTTAAAGAATATAAAAAAGAGACTTAGATTTAAAAATATATTATAAATGTTTAAAAAAAAAAAATAATTTCCTTTTTAAAACTAAACCCTTAGCACCTTAGTAAAAAAGCTTTCCTAACAGTTTTAAGAATATAAGTGCTAAAAGTGTAAGTTATAACATAACTACTTAAGTAATTACATAGTCTTACTTTACTAAATAAACATTAGCAATAACTACTTAATATTTAACATTATATAAAGAATAGCTAAAGTTAAATACAACATTATAAATAAAAAAAAGTAATAGTAATTTTTTACTAAAATTAAAAATTAAAAGCTAGAATAGCTAAGCAAACCTACTAAGTTTAAAGTACTATAACTAGCGCCTAAAAAACCTAAGACACTGCTCTTAAGCCTAGCAATCTCTAAGAAAGCTCTTGCAATATAATAAAATTACAGACAATGTGTCCTCTATAAAAGCAGCACCTACAGCACAAACAGCTGCTAATAGAAAGAGCACCTTATACAGCTAGTACAAACAAAAGAATACTCTTAGTAGACTTAAAAAAGTCCTCTTAGCACATTACATAAACTTAATAAGTGTCTGTACCCCTAGTACTAGTGCACGTAATAATACTGTGTTAAACACTAGAACAACAAACATTAAGCAGGATAGTAGCCTACATAGAAAAAGAACTATAACAGTTGCCTATAGCAAGAAACAGCCTTAGCCTATAAAACTATAAATTATTACACTTACTAAATAGCCCCTCCTTATAAATAAAAAAGGTAGATAAAGTGTAATAAATAAAAAAATTATAAGTTTTATTACTTTTAGTAAAAGGTAGCAAAAAAAGAAGACTACCTAACATTACATTATTTAGTTAAAGATTATAAATGTAAAGTAGCTAACTACTATAATTAAAAACATTAAATTTATAAAAAAAAAAATAAATAAATTTAATAATAACTTATAAAATATTAACTCTTATCCTTTTTTTAATAAAGAAGTTAAACATAACATATTAGCAGTAATTATAGTAGAATAAGGGGCAGAACACAGCCTAACAACTACCTTTACGTATAAAGGGTGGCCTAGACTAGCCCTTATAGACAGTAGATGCACCTTTACTATAATAAATAAAAAATAAGTAGATAAATAAAGTATACTATTCTAAATAAAAAAAAACCTATTTAAAGTAACCTTTACTAACACTTTATTAATTAAGTACAGTAAAGAATAGATTAACCTAAAAACCTATAAAAAGAACTTTAAAACCTCTAATATAAGCAACTAGAGGTCTATAAACATACTTAAGCTAAAAGGCAAATATAATGTAATTTTAGGCTATAACTAGCTTAGAACGCATAACTCTGTAATTAATTAAAGAACTATAACTATAGAAACTTCTAATAACTACGCACACATAACCTAGTTAGCATGCCACAATAACAGATGCCTAGTCTATAAATAAGTAAAGTAGAGTAGTAGTTACTACTCTAAGAAAAGAAAACTTTAAAAATTTCCTTACTAAAAGCTAAAAGCTTAAGTAATAAGAATAATAAAAGAAAAACTTAAAAAAGTATCTTATAAAAAAATTAAAAAAAATAAGAACATAAAATAAATTAGCGTTATATAAATCTAAGAAGAAGGCTGCATTCTACCTAAGTACAAAGATTATAAGGACATATTTAAGACACTAGAGAACCCTAGAGAACTACTACTATATTAGCCTTAAGATTACACTATTAACTTAATAAAAAATTACAACCTAAAAACACATAAGCTTTACCCCCTAACTAAAGTACAAAAAAAAGCCTTACAAGAATACATTAATAAAATGTTAGTATAAGGCTACATCTAGAAAAGCTATAGCCCTATAGCTTTAGCAGTAGTCTTTATAAAAAAAAAAGAGGAAAGATCTAAGTCTATTAGAACTATAAGACCTTAAATAATAACATAATCTAAAATTAATTTCCTCTACTAATTATCTAAGATATTATAAATTAATTAAAAAGAACCTAGTACTTTATAAAGTTTAACATATAAAACAGATTTAATAAAATAAGGATATAAAAGAGAGATAAGTAGCTTATAGTGTTTAAGACTCTGTAGGGACTCTATAAGTTACTAGTAATGCTATTTAGCCTAACAAACGCTCTAGTAACATTCTAGTAAATTATTAACACAGCTCTTAACTTTTATCTAGATGTTTTTACTTTAGTGTACTTAAACAACATCCTTATCTATTTAAAAGACACCTTAAAAGACTATGTATAGAAAGTATAAAAAGTTTTAAAATAACTTAAAAAGTATAAACTTTATCTACAGCTCTCTAAATGCAAATTCTATATTATAAAAATAAAATATTTAGGATTTATAATTAATAAAGAAGAAATAAAGATTAACCTAGCTAAAGTATAAAAAGTACTTAAGTAGCTAGAGCCTATAATAGTTAAAAAAGTAAAAGAATTTCTAGGGCTATTAAAATATATTAGACAAATAATTAAAAATTATTTAAAAATTACTATACTATTAATAAACACTACTACTAAAGAAAGAGCTATAGCAAGATTTATCTAAACTCTAGAAATAAACAAAGCATTTATAGCCCTAAAATAAGCTGTAACAGCTAAACTAGTACTAAGAATGTACAACCTACAGTTAGACATAAAGATCCACACAGACGCATCCCTTAGAGCTAGCAGGGCTGCGCTCTATTAGAAACAGGAAGACAAAAAATAGCACCTAGTTGCGTACTATTTAGCTAAGTTTTTAGGACCTAAAGCAGGCTACAGCATACCTAATAAAGAACTAAAAGCAATCCTAAATGCTATAAAAGTATAAGCTATAGAACTACATAGAATAGTAAAGCTATTTTATATTATAACTAACTATGTAAATTTAGTTACATTTTTAACTATAAAGAAATTATTACTAATGCATGTAAAATAAGTAATAAAACTTGCATAGTTTAACTATATTATTAAACATGTACCTAAAGCATAAAACTAGTAAGCTAACACTTTTAGCTAAAGACTAGACTACTTTAATAAAAAAAAAGAAAAGAACTAAAAAGTTTACACTTTTTAAAAAAACTAACAAAGAATAGATTTATAATAAGCTCTAACTTATAAAAGAATTCTACATGCTTACAGCTAGTAAGCAAGAATAGAAAAACTTAATTTAAGAATATTATAAATCCCTAATGTTTAGCTACCTAAGAATAGGCACCCTTTAAAAGAAGCTAAGGATT